CGGAACACCACCATCATCATCAGCATCACCATCATCATCTCATCATCATCATGAACAGCATCATCTACATCATCATCATCATCATCATCATCATCATCATCATCATCATCGGGACACCATCATCATGAGCAACATCATCATCAACATCAGCATCATCATCCAGACACCATCATCATCGTCACCATCATCATCATCATCACCATCATCGTCTTTACATATCGGGTCACCACCATCATCAACATCAGAATCATCACCATCATCGGGCCACCATCATCAAAATCAGCATCATCACCTCATCATCATCCTCATAATCAGCAACACCATCATCGGGACACCATCATCGTCATCATCATCAGCATCATCATCAGCATGGGGGCACCATCGTCATCATCACCATCATCATCAACAGCATCATCGTCAACCTCATCATCATCATTATCACCATCATCGGGACACCATCATCATCATCATGATCATATCATCACCATCTTATCCCCATCAACATCATCATGATCATCAACATCATCATCATCAAGACACCGTCATCATCATCACCAGCAACATCATCATCAACATCATCATCATCATCATGAACCCTCATCATCACCACCATCACCATCATCATCATCATTAACATCGTCAACATCATCATCAACATCATCGGGACACCATCATCATCACCACCACCATCATCATCATCATCATCATCATCATCATCATCGTCATCGTCATCATCATCATCATCGACAGCATCATTATCATCAGCATCATCAGCATCATCATCATCATCACCATCACCATCACCATCACCATCACCATCACCATCACCATCACCATCATCATCATCATCATCATCATCATCATCATCATCATCATCATCATCATCATCATCATCATCATCATCATCATCATCATCGGGACACCGGCGGGACACTGGCGGGACACCGCGGGCCACTGGCCCCTGGAAGGGAGTCATTCGGTCTGGCCGCGCCTCAGCCGGAGGCGGGACACAAGCGGGACACCGCGGGCCACCGGTTGCCGGAAGGGAGTCATTTGGTCCGGCCGCGCCTCAGCCGGAGGAGACTTTCTTCTCGCCCGCCCACGCAGCTTCGCCTCGCCCGCACGCACGGCACGCGCGAACACGAAACCGTAACCGATTTCCTGGTAGGGGGGCTCTCCGTTCCACTTCGATCTCACCCCCTCACCTCCGATAAACGCTTGTTTTGTTGGCAAAAAACGCAAAACAACTCGCACAACTCGAATCAATATCTGGCCGTCTGACAAGCTGTAAACAAGCTTTGGGCAAAAAAGCATGCAAACCACGGCGGCCTTGGAAACTGAAAAACAACTTAGAATAATAAGCAAAACAACTGCCGTTTTTGTAAGCTTTCAAGAGCACAACTGTTTGTTCCGGCGTCTCTGCTCCAAGTTGTTCTGGAGTTTCGTTTCAAGTTTTGGTTTGGGATCTGAGATTTCCCAGGTTTGGGCTTAGGTATGTTTTGAAGTTTTTTGAGGGTGTGAGACCTTCCAAGGTTTTAGTTAAAAGATGTTCAAGTGCCCTGGGGGTGTGAGTCTCCTGTTGAAGATGTTCCGAAGATTTTGGCAGGTGTTCTCGGTGGCCCTCCTGTCGTAGAACTGTCAGACCTAGATCCAGAGAGCCTCTCACGAGGCCCAGGGGGCCCCAGGGGCTCCACCATGGAGCGAAGAGCTGGGAGCACTTTGGCGACTTGGACCGATACTTCGGCGACTCGGGGCCCTCGAGAACCGTCTTGGGGGCATCTTGGAGCAGTCTAGCCGCGTCCTGCAGCTTTCCTCGGCCGCCCGACCGCCCGAGGGGGTGTCGTATCTGCCCCGGGACCACCCTGGGCCGAGGGCACCGTCGGCAGCCCCCGCAGGCGGAGGAGGGCGGGGAGCGAGCAGAGGTGGCGGGGCCGCAGGCACGCGCGGCCGACCGCGCGCGCTGCCCGGCGGCGCCCCGCTCCGTGGGGCCCGGGCGCCCTGGGCACGGCGACGACCACGTCGGCAGGCCTGCCGAGGTCGCAGTGCGCCACCACGTCCAGGCGACGGCGCACCAGCTCCGTGCTGGCGTCGGACTGGCCCTGCTTCCGCGCCGAGGGCAGCAGGAAGGCGTAGGCCGCCACCTCTGCCCCAGCTGCCTCCAGCTCGTGCAGCAGCCCGTCCACCACGGCCACCGCATCCTCGGAGTCGCCCATCCTGTGGCCCCACGGAGGGTTGCAGAACACCAGCAGCCTCCCCCCGCTCGCGACCGCCGCGCTCGCGCCCACGGCCACGGGGCCATTCTCAGGATCACCGCGCGGCGCCTCCGCGCCCCACTCGTGCTGCACAAACTCCACCGGCGCCCACGCGGCATCGCTGCCCATCCGCTCGCGCGCGAACTGGAAGTTCTGCGCGGCACTCTCCAGAACATGGAACACGGAAAACGGCATCAAGAGGAACTTTTGGAGGTCCGCGCGGACTTCTTGAACCTGCGCTGGACCCCCCTCCTGGGCACGCAGAGCGCGCCGCGGGCGGCGCCGGAGGCGCCGCCAGGGGGCCCCAGCATCGATCCAAGACACCCGCGCGGAGCGCCAAAAGTTCATGTTTAAAGCGATTTGTCTTCTTCGATTATCCTCGATGATCGTCCTCGATCCTCGAGCCTCGACCTGGAGATATGGGTCCCTTCGGAGCCCCTGCCGTTTTCGTTTTCCGAGAAAGTTGAGCCGCACATCGGCTGCCACCACGCGCGAGAACACACCCATGCGCGCACCCACGGACGCCGCCGTGCCGGTCCCGCAGCAGGCGTCCAGCAGCACCAGAGGCCCTGCTGCGCCCAGCGCCGCGAGCCCCTCAAATTCGGCCTCCGCCAGCGCGGCCGCGCGCTCGGTGTCGGTGTCGGCCACCGACGCCGGGAACGGCATGCCGAACTTCTTGACCCGCGTGTCCTGCGAAACCTCTGGGCCCACGACCTGTTGACCCGCGTGGCTGGCCTTCACGCGCGCGGGCCACAGCGCGCGCAGCAGATCTACTCGCATTGCGCGGGTGGCCCACGCGGCCGCTACCGCCAGGTTGAGGCAGGCGGCAGCGGCGTGCGGGTCAATGGCGGCGTTGAACGTCCACGGCTTATCACTGCGGCACCACACAGAAAAGAAACGATCCCACGGATACGCCCCTGGCAGCAGCCCCTGGTCCTCCGTCTCTGGAACTGCGGAGCCTCCGGCAGCCCCGTGTTCTGCTGCTACTTCGACAGCGGGCTCCAGTGCCTCGGCCAGAACGACCTGGTCGCGAAGATCGATCAGCAGCAGTTCGGGGGACGCCAACCATCCAGCCACACTCCTCCTCCTCCTCCTCCTCCTCCTCCTTCTCCTCCTCCTCCTCCTCCTCCTCCTCCTCCCCACCGATCCTGGCCAGACCTATCCTGGGCCCACGATGCGGTGTATCCGCGACCGTGCCCCTCGGCACGCGGGAGGCGCGGAAGCATGCCAGGTGCTGCCTGGCAGGGTGTTTCTGAAATCTTCTAAGGACCATCCCCCCTTCTCGAAGCGCCTCGGGCCTCCTCGCGTGCATCACCCTACCCTCTGCCGAGGCTCCCGGGGCGCCTCGACGCGCCTCCCAAGCGCGCTATCTCCAGGGCCTACAAGCTGCCGGCGGTGAGTTCCGAGACGGCCCAGGCACGCCTCCAAGGCCAGCGAGATGGCCCAAGATGCCCCCCCGACGGCCCGAGATAGCCCCCAAGAGCCCAGGATGGCCTCGGGACTGCCCGAGAGGCTCTCGAGGAGGCCCAGTGGGAGGCTCGAAAAGAAGCTCCCAGAAGGCCCGAAGATGCACAGCTTGCTTCCGACGGGGGTCTGATGGGTGCTCGTATCGGGCGGGCGGTAATGGGGAGTGACCTGGATGGGTGAATGGAGAGAAGGGCCCCTTTAGGGCCCTTTCTTCACCACCCATTTGAATCACCCCCCATTACCACCTGCCCGACATAGACGTCTGATGGGTGCTCGTACTTTCCCCTTTTCCGGTGTCCGTGAGCTCAAGGCGGCCCAATGGCGAAGAAGCCCCCAAGAAGCTCTCAAGACGGCCCACGAGGTCCCGCCCCGAGAGGGCTCCACGACGGCCCAAGAAGGCTTCGAGATGGCCCAGGAGCGGTCCGAAGGGACCGTAAATCCCTCAGACGGCTCTCAAGGTCTCAAAAAGGGCCCCGAGACGACCCGGAGCACTCAAGACAACTGCCACACGAAGCCCAGGCACCCTCACACAGCCCAAGGAGCCACCAACGAGCCCCCGAGGCGCCCCCACGACGCTGCGAGAAAGCCCCGAGAGGCCCCCAAGTGTCTCCCAAAAGGCCCCCGAGAGGCAACCAATGGGCCACCCAAGGCCTTTAAGACGCCCGAGGTGTCACACGTGACGGCCTCCCGCATCCCCTCGAATGGTCGCCGTGCTGGGCTGGCACGGTGGCGGAACCTACCGCAGGCAGCCGAACTGGTGGCCACCTGGCCAGGATCGGCGGCGAGCCAAGGAGGGGAAAGTGAGTGTGACAAGGCCTCCTCCGAAGGCGGCGGGACCTCTCGGAAGCCCTCGCGCCTTCTGCTGAGTTCTGCGCCTTCGGGGCAGGCTCAGAGCACCTCTCAGGAGGCCGGGGGACTCCCGAGCGTTCCGAGAAGGCCCGCCTCTTTTCGCTTCCCCCCCTCGCTCTCGCCACCAACGGGAAGGCGTACTTTCTTGATCCGCGGGTCGAGAGCGCACCTCTTCCGGTCGAAGCTAAGCGGGCCGCGCGAAGCTTGAATTAAAGAGGCGGGAAGGCGTACACGCACGCCGACCCGGGGCCCGGGATGGGCCCGGCCAGGGTCGGTGGTTGTGCATGGCTGGCGTCCCCCGCGCAGGGCAGGAACCGCCTCGCCTCCCAGCGCCGACCCCGCGCCCCCCGACGGGACCGCGCCCAGCGCCGCCAGCACGCGCTGCACCAGCAGCGCTGCGCGCGTCGCTGCTGGCTGCCACGGCACGCTCTCCAGCGTGGTGGGTCGCTGGGCCTGGGTGCGGCGGATGAGTAGGGAGAGGGAGAATTGTGCACCGGGACACGCAGATCAACAACTCGACACAACTCCCAAGATTCCCCATGCTTGTCCTGTCTCTTCTGGATGCTCGACTGCCCCCTCTCACGTCCCATGTTGTCCGCTATGTTCCTGGGAATCGACGATTATTGGTGTCTGTGTGTTCCTCCCCCCCGTACAAGGAGAAGGCCGGAGCAGGAGCAAAAGAATGCGGAGGGGAGCGGCGGAGGGAGAGGGCGGCTGAAAGCAGCGGCGGGAGGGCGGCGGAGGGCGGGGGGAGACTGACGACGACGACGACGACGACGACGACGACGACGACGACGACGACGACGACGACGACGACGACGACGGCGGCGGCGGCGGCGGCGGCGGCGGCGGCGGCGATGACGACGACGACGACCTGCTCCAAGCGCAGCTGCACGCGCCTGCCTCGGAACCGCGACCCGAGTGCCGCCACCTGCACCAACAGCTGCGACGCGCTGGGGGCGGCGCAGAGCACGCGCCCCGCGCCGCGGAAGCAGGCCAGCCTGCTGGCCGCGTGTTCGCTGGGCAGCGGCGGCGGCGGCGCCCCCTCTCCTGAAGCAGAAGGCCACCCTCCGACCACCACCCTGCCGAGACGAGGCCATCATGGGCCCTGGGCTGGCGCAGGAAGGTCCCGAGATCTCCCTGTCTGGGCACGGTGGTGGCGTAATGGTTCCTTCTGCAGATCTGTCGTGGAAGAACAGAGCACCACACACTCACAACACCGGACTTCTGGGGTCCGCACGGATTCATGGGGTCGGCACCGGGCCGATGCCCCCGAGGTTGCAGGCTGATGCTTTCGACAGAGCCCCATCCAGTGGTGTGCCTACAGTGGGAGCTCGACCACAGGAAACCTTCTGCAAACAAAAACAACCCCGAGACCCTAGGACGACCATTGATTCTTGGTGCGGGAGTGCCACGCGGTCCACAGCAGAACCATCGAAACCCAGGACACCCAAGGCACCGTGGAGGCAAGCAGGGTAGTTCTTGGCATGGGCTTTCCACTGCATTGACTCGGCGCTGCTTTGAATCCCAAGATTAAATCACAAACTTGACTTCTGGGGGTCCGCACGGCTTCCTGGGGCTGGCGCGAACCCCCTCCGCTGGGCGGCGTCTCCGGCGCAGCCCCCTCGGAAAGGGATGTTCTTCGCAGATGAGCTCTGCGCTTTTTGACTCCGAGCTGTATGGCCCCATCCTCCTTCTCCTTCTGCTCCGACTCCTCCTCCTGTCTGTCCTCCTCCTTCCTTCCTTCCTGCCTTCCTTCCTTCCTTCCTCCCTTCCTTTCCTCCTGCTCCTCCTGCTCCTGCTCCTGCTCCTGCTCCTGCTCCTGCTCCTGCTCCTCCTCCTCCTTCTCCTCCTCCTCCTCCTCCTCCTCGTCCTCCTCCTCCTCCTCCTCTCCTCCTCTTCTTCCTCCTTCGACTAATCCGCGCGAGCCTCCGAAACCTTACGTGTGCTCCTATGGTTTTCTGGCCTTGCGCTTCGGGGGGTCGTGGAGCCGGCAGGAGCAAGCCCAGTGAACCTCAGGGGCAAGCCCGATTAGGCCAATAAACCAATGTATAACAAAACTGACAAGGATCATGTCAGATCCAGCCAATTTTCGACCACAGAAATACCAAGCGCCGACTCTGAACCGCACCTCACAAGAGTTGCACCATGCCCTCTCGACCCACCCAAATGGGGCCCGTGGATGCTTGGTGTACGAGGCGGGGTTTATCCATAGAGGCCTCCTAGGTGGGGTCCAAGTTGATGTGGTCGGAGGATCGCGCCGCACCGCCAATGCATCGGCGACGCATCGGCGACGCATCGGCGATACATCGCCGACGTCGGCGACGCATCGGCGACGTCGGCGTGGAGAAAGTCGGGCTCTGCATCGACCCGCATCGCCGATGCATCGGCGATGCGGTGCGATCCTCCGACCCCGTCTGTTCCGACCCCGTCCAGGAGGCCAAGACCTTCCGACCCGCCCGGATGTCTGTGAGCGAGGAATTAACGGGCGAAGAACGGTATAAAGTAAACTTTTTCGCTGTCAGGGGCGCCTGTCCCTGGGCGGCTGGAAAATTTATACCCCTACGGGGGCACCGGAGGGGTATAAATTTGCCAGCCGCCCAGGGACAGGCGCCCCCGACAGCGAAACAGTTTATTGTATACCGTTCTTCGCTCGCTGAAGGAAGGGCTGTATCCATCAGCACCGCCTGGGGATCGATCCTCGGGGACCTCGGCAAAGGGCGGCGGAGAAGGAAACTATCGCCGCAGGCACTGGGGGGGGGCCAGAGCTGTCCACCTCCACGGCCCGCCCAGGTCCCCGAGGGGCGATCCCCGAGGCGGCTGTGACTCGGCGGCGAGCGAGGGGGGGGGGAATGAGGAGGAGAACGCCTTTCTGAGAAGGTCTGGGGGACTTCTCAGAGGCCATCGCGCCCTCTGAGAGGCTTCCGGCGTCTCCGGGGAAGGCTTCCAAGACTTCTGAGAGGGCCTGGGGGCTTCCGAGCCTTCTGAGAAGGCCCGCTCTTTCGGGGCCTGACATAGGGGGGGAGCATCCACCTGGAACCGGCGACACATCGCCGATAGCTCGGCGACAGGCCCCGATGGTGCATGCGAACGCACCTGTGCAGAGTGGGGCTACCGAGCCCCAATCGGCCATCAATGGGCGACTATAGGGGTCGATGCATCCCCCCCTATGCCTAAACCCCCCCCTCAGTGGGACCTGGAAACGACAGGGCCGTTTTTTACTGGTTCCGTTTTGCCGTTTTTTTGCCGGTTCCGACGCCGTTTTTTTAACGGTTCCGTCGCCGTTGTTTGACCGGTTCCGGCTCCGGTTCCAATCTTGGAGCCGTTTTTTTGCCGTTTCCGGTCGCCGTTTTGTTGCCGTTTCCATCTCCAAGGGGCAATTTTTATGGAAACGGTGAAAAAACGGCCCTGCCGTTTCCGGGGCCCACAAAGCCCCCCCCCTACCGCTGCCCCATGGAATCCTTCGGCCACCACGACGGCGAGCCCGGTGCGGTGCTCCACGCAGCGCGCGCCCGGGCCCGCCAGCAGCCGCAGCTCGCGCCGGAGCAGCGCCGCTGTGTTGTTGGTGGCGCGGAAGAGGACCACGGTGCTGCCCGAAGGTCGGCGACGCGCCCCGGGGGGGGGAGGCCGTCGGCTGCACGCAAGAGTGGCCACTGGTGGTCAACCAAGAAAGAGAACCCCTGATCCTCTTGGGGAGGGGGCCGAAATCAGGAGGGGCAAAAACGATAGGGACAGGGGCTCTGTTCAGCAGATGTATCGAAACATGGTTACGGTCCATAATGCAAAGACAAGGACCTCAATGAGGCCACGTCTTCACTGAGTCTGTGTTGGCCACGAACCGCGTCCGGAACGAATCTGCCCGGAACATTGTCCGGAACATTGTCCGGAACAAACGCGTGGACTCCACGTCCCTGGGCCCCCCCGCTTCCGGGGTCCTTGGGAGCCCCAGGGCCCTCCCGGCCTCGTAGCGCCCGCGGCCCACGGGCCGCTCAGGAACGTAGATAGCAGTGACTGAATTCCTTGGGTTCGGGCGTTTCTTATTCTCTCGGTGGAATGGTGCGCGCCTTGCCAGTCGTGGCGTGCGGTGCGGCAGCAGCGGCCCGTGTGCTCGGATTCGGCGGCCCAGCGTGCCGCCGACGGAGGGGGCGGGCCTGCTCAGGGGCCCGAGGCTCAGTGATGTATGCCCCCATCGCACGCAAGGACCACATGCCAGAAAGGAGATCGAGCACCTGGAAGAGTGTCGGAAGAGTGTCGGACGAGTGTCGAAACAGTGTCGGACGAGTGTCTCCCAGGGCCCGACACGTGAAAACCCTCGAGTTTCAGCACCTTGCTGGTGCTCGACATGACTTCTGGCGAACAAGGCCGAAGCAGGCTGGAACACCATAGCCCGAGGCATTCCGGGAGGCTCTCCCACACCTCCCCGAGGCCACGCAGGGCCTCCGGCAGGGCCGGCGGGGCTTCTGGGAGGTCCCGCCGCCTTCTGAGCTGGCCCGACCCCCTCTCGCCTCCACCCTCCGCGCGCCGCCAAGAGGGGAACTGGACTGGAGGGCGTCCTGGATCTTGGGGGGGCATGGCGGCAAAGGGTAAGTCACCAGACACGCGCGCTCCACTGCTCGCTGAAGGAACCTTGCGCAGATGGCCTGGGTACGCCATGGGGGATTCACGATCGATTACATGGATGCAGACATGTTTGTGTTGGACGCCTACGAGGAGGCACTTTGCGAGTAGTGGAACGCGCTCGGTGAGCCAAGGAGCGGGCGGCGAGAGGCGTCACCAGGGGCTGCGACCGAGAGACCTGAGCCGGCTCGAGCCATGGACGCGCCGGCGAAGGCAGTACATGAACATTCGCGCCGTCGCAACTCAGAACTCTCCCACAGCGGGGAAGGCGTCTTGCGCTCGAACTACGCACTCACCGGGATGCCCACATGGGACACCCAGAGCAGAAGAACTGCCAGAGGCTGGTGACGGTGACCGTACCAACAGGAGGGAACATCATGCTCGGGGCGAAGGCCCCCCTCGCCGACCATGAGATCTGCCCCGTCCGCACAGGAAACGCCCACCGGACCTCCGAGGTTCGGGCGTTGGCAAAACTGGGTTTAGTGGAACCTGGTTTAGTGATGTGTACCGGGGGCGCCCCCCCGTCCCATTTCCACTAACCGGGACTGCCGTCACCCGAAAAACACCAGTTACGGCAAACCTGGTTTGGTGAATCTGGCCAGTTGAGGGGCCCCAGGGCCCTACCACTAACCGGGTCCCCTTACCTGGGGTCCTGGCTACACCCGGTGCAGGCGCCGACGTCTGCACTCGAGGGGCCTGCTGGGACACCGAAGACCAACAAGGACGCCCCCCGCGCCGCCCTGGTGCGCGGGCAGCCGCGATCCGCCGTCCGCGGACGCCCGAAGCGCATGTCGCGTGCCCGTCGGGCCTCCAAGCCCGCCGGCCCCCAGCGCGCAGGTGGCTTAACGCGGTACCTCCTCCTCCTCCTCCTCCTCCTCCTCCTCATCCTCCTCCTCCTCCAAACTCCTCCTCCTCCTCCTCCTCCTCCAAACTCCTCCTCCTCCAAACTCCTCCCCTTCGGAGAAGAAGCAAAAAAAGCAAGGGCATAGCCCCAAGAGGTCCTGGAAAGCCCAAGGAGGCCTCCCGACATCGCACACGCTGGCTCCAGACACCTGACGGCACGTCTCCGAGAGGTGCCACGACCAGCACCGCCCCCTTCTGCCTCCTTCACCTCCTCGTGCCGTCGGTCCACATCCCGTCCCTCCTCATCCCGGCTCTCACCTCGCCCGTCCCCTCACAAAGCATCTCTCCCACGGACAGCCCACCGCGGTGCGTGACCGGCCCGCTGGCGCAGGCCCCGTGCGCCAGCACACAACCTCTCCTCCTCGCCTCCTCGCCTCCGAGGCCTAAGCCGCCTGCCCACACGGATCATGCACCCCCAGCCCGCGTCGGAGGTGAGCCGGATGTACCTCGGGCAGGGGACTTAGAATACTCTTCCTCCAAGAGCACGTGTGCCCGAAAGGCGGCCTGCGGGAGAGGATCACGCTTGCGACACGGGGCCAAAGGTGCGGTGACGTCGTCTTAACAACCGTCCTGACATCCGCGTCGGCTCTGTCGTTGGCCTTACACTTGTTGGTGCCACGGCTCCCAGGAAAGCCCAATCCAGTAGGAACTCAACCACAAGAAACCTTCCGCAAGAAACCCAACCCTGAGACACCAGGACGGCCATTGCTCTTTGGTGCGGGAACGCTTTCCACTGCAAAACCCTCGAAACTGAAGAAACTCAGGGCACCCTGGAGGCAAGCAGGGTGTTTCTTGACATGGTTTCCCACTGTGCCACCCGAACTCCAGGAGGTCGACGAGGGCGAGCAGGTGACAACGTGGCCGTCGCTCAGACCGCTGTCCAGCCCGCCCGAGAGCCAAACCTGGACTTTTCCGAATGCAATGGCCCCACTATGGAGGAGGGACCATCGCCACCAACACCACTTTTTTCTATGCATGAGAGAATCGATGCGCTGCGCAGAAGATGTAAAACAGAAGGACCTCCAAAAAAGTTAAGAAATGGGGGCTACGCACTGGGATCCGCCTCCTCCTCCTCCTCCTCGCTTTCTCCGTTTGGATGGCGGGGAGATCGGAAACAACGGGCCCGTGCACCAACGGCACCATAGCAAATCCGCCGGCCCTGTCAGCGTGGGGGACCCGTCGTCGTCGTCCTCCTCCTCCTCCTCCTCCTCCTCCTCCTCCTCCTCGTCGCCGCCGTCGCCAAGCCCTTTATTTTCCCTGAGTCATTCACCTCCAACGTTCCAGCCGAAACGACGATGACGGACGTTGATATAAAATCGAAGGGAGGCCCCTTCCCTTTGATCACTTCCCCGCCGGGGGGGGGGGGTCTGGGGGATCCCGTGGGTGTCTCAGGGGGGGTCTCAGGGGGCTCCTGGAGGTTCCCGGGGGTGGGCCCAGGGAGGTCCCTGGTCCGAATACCATCCCTCTGGCGGGAACCCAAGGGGGGTCCCGTGGAAAGGGTCCCCCGGGGGGGGGTCACGGGTCAGAATACCACCCCTCCAGGGAATCCCCCAAGCGTCGTCGTCGTCGTCGCCGTCGTGTTCGTCGTCGTCATTCAGGGTGACCAGCACTGGCCGTAAGGCCTCTCCAATGTAGGAGGTAAACGTCCTCGTGGTGGGTTGGTGTCGCTGTCTGTCGGCGTTCCGCTCGAAGCACTTTCGATATCTGGCTCAAGAGAAGATCGTTGACATCCTCGTCAGGGGTGGTCCCGCTGGGTGTCGCTTCCGTTTCTTCTAAAATGAAAGTCGGCCCATCTTGACAAGGGTGGGGAGAGATTCGGCGGATTGGGGACTCGATGCAATACCATTTTAGCAGCAAGGTGACCACTGCAGCTGCCAACTCAATGCACTGAGCTCGGTTGGATCAGAGTGAAAATGGCCTCAGGCAGTGCCTTGCCTGTATCACTCCAAATGATCTTGGATCCAAGCAGCTCTGTGCAAGTGTCGTCATTGATCGACTGATGAAAACATCGCACAGGGAGGCTGCTGTGAAAGGACTTTCGGTTGAACCCAGCTCGCTCTGCCATTGGTTCTTCCGATGCCATTTTGGGAACTGCGCGTTGACATGAGATGGCCTGACTGCGGAAGGAGGCCTAGCCTCAACGTCATCATCACATTCCCAGTGTGCCAGCCATTACCTTGAGGCTCCATCGGATCCTGAAGAAGGTGCACACAGGCACAATGAGACCCCATGTGGTCCAACGAGGCCTAGATATAGCGCCAATCAACCCCACTGACACCTGTCTTTTTTGTTGATATCCGGCAGCCCCCTCCATCCTCGCTGCCTGATCAAGGGCACCTAACTCCGCGCTTCACGCTGCGCGAATAACTTCGAGCTCCCGCGCCGCCCCCCAGGGGAGAGAAGCAGGGTGAGGAGGTTCTGGATCCGAAACACCAGACGCGAAGAACGTCGCGCCCTCGAGGGCGCCCTTGTGAACGCTAATGAGGGGAGGAAGGTGGGGTACGTATGCTGGGTGGGTGCTTGCCTCCTCTACCCCCTGGGCGGACCGAGAGCGCGTCGAAGCGGTGGACGCTGCGGGACACATGCGTCCCAGAGCGTTCGCAGCAGTGGGAAGGCGTCGACGAGGCGGAGGAACGGATGCGGGGAACCGCGGTGACGACAGCGCTGGCGCTCTCCACCACTGCGACCCGCGAGGCACGGAGTGGAATGTCCTCAGGCCCCTTCCGATTTTCGTCACTGGACATTGCAGAAATTATCTATGCAGAAATTATCTATGGAGCCCAGGGGTGGACTTCATTGGCTCCTCGCGTGACTTCACTGACGACAATCCCGCTCACAAACTTCACTTGTGTCTTAACGCGTGTTCGGTCCCAGAGGGGGGGAACCCGAGCTGGCAACACGAGCCATCTTGTGCGCAAGGTGCCTCCGAAGACCTTTAAGAGGCTTCCAAGAGGCCCTCAGAGGCGCCAATTAGGCCCAGAAGAGAGACCTTCTAGAGGCATACAGGATGCCCGAGAGAGGCTCCCAAGAGGCATCCGAGAGTTCCCCAAGACGAACTCGCAAGAGAGCCCAAGATGCGTTCAATACCTATGCTGGGGTGTCCGTGTGCCGGCTGTCGGCCTTACACGCTGGCTGGGTTGGCCCACAACACAAATCACCAGGAAGGAAACAATAACGACTTGGCTACCAATGGTGTACACCATGGCCAGGATACGGCAACGGGTATTACACGCTCGCTTTGCCATGACACATGAGTGGGGGGGCCGCGTGCGAAGGAACACGGCCCTACAACCCGGGAGGGCAAAACCATAACCACAGTGAGGATCACAACATTAATGGGACCACAACCGTCGGGGACACACAATCCTGACGTGACATTGGAATTGCATGTGCTGCAAAGCATTACATGGGTTTTGCAGGGGGGGCCGCTCCGAACCAACGATCGCTGAGGTTACCCCTCGTGGCGCTCTACGACCCCGAGATGCGTTCAAGAAGACTCTGCCCCACAACCCAGGCGTGGCTGCGGGATGGGCAGAAGGCCACTATGGACCTCGTTGTCGTCGCCACCATCACCATTATCATCACCACCACCATGCTCCTCCTCCTCCTCCTCCTCCTCCTCCTCCTCCTCCTCCTCCCCATCACCACTGCACTCGCCATCGTCATCCTCCAACATCGCCATCCTGACCCTCAGCCCCAGCGCCCCCAACAATCCACCCCCCGCAGACGCCTCCTCGCCGTGTGCCCCCCAACAGTCCACCCCCCGCAGACGCCTCCTCGCCGTGTGCCCGGCGTCACCCCCCGAAGAGGGCGTGGAGACGCGGCGGCGAGAGATCGCACGCTACCGACACCCGACCTGATGGGCCTGTTTTCCACCACCACCACCATAAGATGGAGGGGGGAAGGAGGAGGAGGACGAGGAGGAGGACGAAGACGAGGAGGAGGAGGAGGAGGAGGAGGAGGAGGAGGAGGAGGAGGAGCCCCTCCCCCTCCAACTCGTGGTGGTGGCGGAAACAAGCCCATCACGACCCCCCCACGCGGCGCGGCGGGCGGCGGGGGCGCGCGCGCCTCCGCTGCTCGGCGGAGCCGGCCGCGGGGGCGCGGAGCGAGGCCGAAGCCGGGCGGTACATGGGCGCGAAGCCCTCGGGGTGGTTTGGGGCGGTCGGCGCCGCCCGCTCTCGCCAGAGGGGGGGGGGGGAGGGGAAGGGGGAGGGGGGGGGGGAAGTAGGGGGAGGGAGGAGAGGAGGAGGGGACCACAAGGAGGAGCTGAGGAGGATGAGGAGGAGGAGGAGGAGGAGGCGGAGGAGGAGGATGATGAGTATGTGGTAGGGGGAGGGGGAGGGGGAGGCGGAGGAGGAGGAGGAGGACGAAGAAGAGGAGGAGGAGGGGACGGGAAGGAGGACGAATTGGAGGACGAGCAGGAGGAGGCGGAGGAGGAGGAGGAGGAGGAGGAGGGGAAGGGGGAGAGGCGGGGGCCTCCTGTGACTACCGTCGACCCGTAGCACAAGGATGCTCGACACGGATGCACGGGCCGTGGACGCTGATGTCGAAGCTTCTCGAGCGGGGGGCGGCCAACGAAAGTGGCCAAGGATGGACCGAGGAGGCAAGGATGCGAGGGCAGCCTTGGGAAGGCTGCCCATTCTTACTATGCGGGTTGGCTGTGCCAACCAAGCCACCCCCAGCCAACCCGAAGTCGGCGCTGGAACATGTTCTATTGGGGGGGGCGTTTGAATCATCGAGAAAACACAAGGGAACCCGTACCCCCCCCCCAGCGCGAAATGTTTGGGGGGTCTGGGACCTTGGGGTTGAGCTGATGCGCTCTGGAAACTAGGGTGCTGTTCCCCTCCTCCTACGGCTCATTCTCTTCCTCCTCCTCCTCCTTCTCCTCCTCCTCCCCGTTGTACTCCTCCTTCTCCTCCGTTCCTTCTCAGGATGGGCAGCCCCTCCCCATCGCACCCCCAGACGTGTCGGTAGGGCGACGCGGCGTGTCGCCCGAGACATCCTCGCTAGTTGTGATCCGGGAGCTTGAAGGTTGCAGCAGCTTCAAGGATGGAGGGCGTGTGCCTTGGAAAAGTGCGTCTCGCCCAGGCGCCGCGCGCCCATTCGATTTACAAACTTTGCACCAGTGTCGCGATGGAGGGCGGGCCGTTTCCATGCTGTGGCGCTCGTCACAGCACCGCGCAGGAGTCGTCTTCAAAGTCTGCAGCAGCGTCAAGGATGAAAGGCGGTTACTTTTGAAATTATATGGCTCTCGCCCCCTAGCGCCGCGCAATGCATCACATAAGCTTGCAACTGGTTCACGCGGCCGAAGTCCCAGGGATGGCGAGCTGGCCCGATTTAAGTTCGTTAGGAGGCAAAGGACGCGTTGATCCGCTAGGATGCAATCCCAGGAACAGTTTTCTGGCACGATTGAGGATTGTCAGGACGCAGCAATGACGCTGATGCGCTGTACTGCAGACCAAGGAACGCTGTGTGTTGGCACGACTCAGGGCACTCAGACGGTGTTCGTCTAATGGGCAACTTCCCGCAGTGAGCATATCTTCTAGGGGCCTATGACGAGGGAACTTGGGAGGGTGTATTGCAACATCGCTGATGCGTCTCAGGCTTACACGTGTCCTCTCCCTCCAACTCATGTGCTCCTCGGCCTCTCAACCACCTACAATCTTCTGCGGTGGAGCGGAAAAGAGGGGGATGGGGGAGTGGAAGGGGGAAGATTGCAAAAGGGCGCCCTCCCACTAGTCCAGACTTTCAAGTAAACCCGCCCACCTCCTTCCTCCCTCCCTTCCACGCTCCACTCTCCAATACGCGATCCACTTCGAACTTCGTTCCCCTCATCCCTCCACTGTATACATCCACCCTCCCTCCTTTCTAGTACCCTATCCCTCTTCGACTCTGGCCACCCCTGCTCCACACTCTGGTCTCCCTCCCTCCTCCCCCCCGTCCAACCCCACTCGATTCCGTTCTGCCAGACCGATCCGGGGGGGTTGGCCAAGGGGTCTGAAAGCTAACACCAATGCAAATCGTTCCGTGTTTGTCAAAAAGCGTGACTGTGAGGGTCCTCCTCCAGTTAGCCAGTTAGCTTCGGAGCCACTACCAGGGTCTCTGGCGGTCGTTCGGAACAAGTCCAGGCTCCCCGAGAGCTCAAGCGGAGGCAATGGAAAACAACCCGGGGCCCGAGAACCTCCAGGACCCTCCCGAACGCCCCAAAAACTACGGAGCACGCACAAACTAAAGAGCATGAGCATCGCGGAACGCTTGCGCCCCCCTTCATCACTCCTGTGGTCCATCGGGACGTATTTTCAGGGCGACAAGCCTTGTGCAAGAAGGCTCCCCACGAAACCCAAAGAACGAGGGGGAGGACAAGGGGTCGACATGAAGCCCAAAGAACGAGAAGGAGAAGGAGAGGACGACGACGACGACGACCACCGCAACGCTGGGAGGCATGCCAAAGGCGGTGTCCCCAGCGTCTCGCGCTCTCTTGGAGACCCACAGAGCCCCACAGGGCCCTCTGGGCCTCGCGGAGGGTTGTGGGCGCCATCTGGGCCTCCTTCCTGCAGAGGCTGAAGTCACCTCTGTTTGGGACAAAGGTTCGATCGGGCATTTCCTCCTACAGGCGGATATTGGACAAAACATCGTCAACAAAAAACAACAACGATCCTGACATGGAGACTACCTAAAAACTATTCTCGAATCCTCCTGCTGTGGAGGGACAGGCCCGACTGAAAGCAAAGGCCACCTCCGGCTAATTACGTGGTGTACGTCGCAGCGCGGCTGACGCAATCCGCACGCGCGCTCGGGCAGGCCGGGCGATGGCGGCATCGCGAACCGTCCGGCAGCAGGAGGGGCAAAACCTTGAGGGAGAGGCGAGCGGCCCTGGGCCGGGGGGAGGAGGGAGAACGCTCACGAACCTCTGGCAATTCACACGAGGCCTCCTGGTGTCCTCCCGGCCCGCTTGCTGGGCCGCGCCCAGCCCGCGGGCCAAGCAAGGTGCCCCCCCCCCGAAGACGCAACAAAAAAGCAGCCACGGGCTCAGTGCACTTGGCCCGCGGAGGTCTGAGCAGACAGATGCAGGCCCTCGCGTTGCGACAGTATGGCGCTCACAGTCTTCGTGACGGCACGTGGCTCGGTCGGATGTCCGCGCTGCCCTTCCACGAGGGATCGACGACGACGACGACGACGACGACGACGACGACGACAACGACAACGCCGACGACCACGACGACCACGACGACCACGACCACGACGACGAGGAGGCCCCACGCCGGGCCTTCCGGTACGTCATGCGCGCTATCTGCGACCAGGCCGCGGCGAACTCCTCCGGCGAGCCAGCGCCGGCGGTGCCGAGGGGCTCCGCGTTGGGAGTCGCGCCTGGTCCGCAGGGGGGAAGGGGGGGCGGGGGGGCGGGGGGGAAGGGGGCGAGGTGGAGGGGGAGGGCAGGGAGGGGGAGGGAGGGAAGGGAGGACGAGAGGGGAGGAGGGAGGAGGTAGGAGGCCCAAAAGGGAAGGGGGGGGCAGGGGGAGTGAAGAGGGGGAGGGAGGAGGCGGGAGGGATAAGGGAGAAGAGAGGGAGAGTAAAAAAAAGGGCGCCAGGAGGGGCAGTGCGAGCTCTGCGGGGGCCTCCGGTGCTCAGCGCCTGTGCTCTGGATGCGCCGCGACGGCCGGATCCGAATGCGCACTCCATGTGTATGGAGCAGGAGGCCCACCAGGGGGGAGGGGGCACTGTTCGGAGAGCACCCGGGGGGGGGGGGTCCCCTCCTCCCACTCGTCCCCTCCCGCGTCCTTCCTCCGCCCTCCGCCGCCCCCGCCTCTGGCCCTCCCTCGGTTCCTCTCCTTCCCCCCCCCCTTCCATCCCCCCCCTCCTCACTCCGTCCACTCACGCGCACGGCGGAGGGGGGGCGAGGTGGGCGCCCGAGTCGAGCTGCGGGGAGTCGAGAGGGAAGGATCGGTCGCTGGGGTCCGTCCCTGGAAGTGTTCGGAACCTGACAACAAAAAAAACAGTCAAATGCACCAAATAAAAAACGCTCGCGCGGCATAATGCACATTGGCCAAACATTCCCCGCGAACACGCGCGCGTGCGAGGCCGCCGCTTACGGCGCAGCAATCCGCGGCATAGCACTGCATCTGCACATCGGCTGCCATCACACCGCGTTATATCGCATGGCGTGTCATGATGGTACGTGGCGCCGCGCGTTTCAGCATAACCTGTCATGCGAGACCCGCGCCACGTGGCATTGTCGAGAACATCACTGCGTGCCTGCGCATGTTTGTCTCGTTCCTTGTGTTGCGCATTATTGCGGGCACTTTTGTGGCGCACTTTTGTGGGTATCTTTGTGGAACACTTTGTTGGTGCATGTTTGTGGCGCAATCTGGCGGCCCACTTGTTTGACATGTGTGCTGCGAGCTTGCGTGGCGCATTCTGGCGGTCTTCGGCGCCACAGAATATGTGGCGCCGATGACCGATGGGGGGAGTGCGGGGCGCGGAGGGGGGGGCGGAGAGACGGGCAGGCCTTCTGGCAGAGGCGACGACGGGAAGCAGAGCGGGAGGTCGGGGGAGAGGAGGAGGAGGAGGCGGAGGATGAGGAGGAGGAGAAACAAGACGAGGAGGAGGGGTCGGAGGCGAGGTGTGGGGGGGCGTTGGCCGAGGCGGGCCGACGAGGCTCCAGAGAGCGACCAGGGAGGTCGAGCGGGGCAGGCTCTTGGCCAGGAGGCGGGGTCGAGAGGGCGAGGCATCCCTCTGGTTCCCCTTCCCGCGCTGCTGCCTGCCGCCTTCTCGTTCGCAGGCCTCCCAGTGCCCCCTCATCCTCTGCGTCCCTTCCTTCCTCCTCCTCCTCCTCCTCCTCCTCCTCCTGCTCCTCCTCCGCGGCATCCTCCTCCTCCTCCTCTTCCGCCTCCTCGTCCTCTTCCGCCTCCTCCTTCTCCTCCTCCTCTTTCTCCTCCTCCTGCGCACGCCTCCTCTCTCCCCCTCCTCCCGAGCCGATGCCCTTGCATGCGGTGAGGTGGTGGAGGGGGGCGGATGGGAGGGAAGACCGACTGAGAGAGATGACTAAGCAAAAAAAGACCCCATAACCCTTTGGGAAGGGACCGAAATTAGGAGGCCCAAACACATGAGGGATAATAGGGGATCTTTTCTGCAGACGCATTGAACCAAACCACACCGCCCAGAATTAGTATCCCTGCTGCACGGACGGGGACCCAAGTGGAGCCAGGTCTCCACTGTGTTATTCGAGTGAGCCTCGATGAAGAGAGAGGGGGAAAGGGGGGAGGGGGGAAAAGGCAAATCAGCGGCGGAAAGGGGGCGGGGGGAGACGGGGGTCGAGAG